TCCCCCCCTCGTTTCCCCCCCCCCCGCCTCCCCGCCTTCAAAAGGACAAGATCAGAATCGCGGAGGCCGGGGCGGGGCGGGGTTGTGGGGTAGAGTGGGGGGAGCTGCGCTTGTTTGTGCAGCTGGGTGCCCTGGCGGGGTCATCCCCGCGGAGTCCGGCCTTCCTGGGAGGACTGCACGGCCCATGTTCCCAGACTCCGAACGCCCCACCCACTCACCCGTCCACCCTCCACTCGCGTCTAAACTCAGCACAACAGCCCTTCGCATGACTTCGCGCAGAAGGCCAGTTAGATCGTGGCATGGAAGGCTTGGACGGGCGGCGGAAAGGAGAAGAGCTGCTGCAGGGAGGGATTCTGCCGGCTGACTTAATCGTCCCCCGTTCTGTACAGAAAATGTGCTGAACGAGGGCATCCAGAAGGTGGATCGCCCTGAGGATGCTGGGCTTTGCCCGCAACCTGTCGTGACTGTAAGGCCATCTCAAGTGCCCAAGCGGGTTGGTCCTGCTGGCTTGAAAGGGCACCCGGGGTGGGGTGGGGACTCCGTGGCCCTTGTGCTGCCAGGGTCGGGGGGGGGGGTAGGGCTTTGTAGCCCCCAGCTGTGGCCTCTGCCTTAGGGCAAAACCTCTAGCAGAGCACCAGGAGCGCAGCAGCGGGCAAAATCTGCCACCCCTGAACCGCAAGCCGTGGCTGGGGTTCGGGGGCAACTTTCGTGTGCACCCATGCCTGTCTTTTGATCCGCATGAAAAAGTCTCCAGCCTGTCTCCAGCGTGGCTTCAGAGACACCCATTCGGTTCAAAAGCTGTTTTCCCACCTTGGAAGGAAAGGCAGGATCCTTAAATCCTCAAAGAAAATAATCTCCTTTGGACGTTTTTAACGCTTTGGTAAATTCCCAGGGCGAGCAAACGCCATCTGTGAAGCTGGACAGAACCTCTTATAAGATGTTTCTCTCTGGTGAAAAGTTTTGGGCAGCTTAGGAAAACGGTGCCTTTCTCTACACCAGCGTGTTTCCTGGTGCGATCTGAATGTTTAGGACGGTGACTCCCGTTATTTATCCCTGATTCTTGCCCGTGGGGGCTGGTGCTGGTGGGAGCTGTAGTCCAGTTTTTCCATAGGGCACCTAGTTGGGGGGGCGGGGGGGGCTCCACTTTCACAAAAGCAGGTCACAGAAGGTCAACCTGGCATACATTAACTATTCCACTGCAACTATCGTTAGCACAGCTAAACCGTTCCTTGGCTACGTGACTCAGAACAGCCCCTTTTATCACTAATATACAACAGAGAGGATGATTGCGGTGTGTATTCAAGACATGTGAGCCTGTTGGGTCACTCTGTTTCCCTATAGAAACGTGGGGAATGTGGAGATGAAGGCACAGATGCTGCCCTTCTGGTTCCCAGAGTCCCCGCCGTGGTTTAATTGTGATCTGCTCCGGTTCGGACTCGATCTTGCCCATTCGGGTGACCTGCAGCCAAACACTCCTTGGGCACAAACTTTCAAGGGAGCAGAGAATGAAAATGTGCCTGTTTTGTTTCAAACCGTGTGATATGGGAAGACAAGGACCCCCACAAGCTTTCAAACCAGGAGTGGAAGAAAATAATCAGAAGCTCCGAGGCAGATTTTGCCTGGATTCTGAGCGTGAAAGGTTTCAGATACGCTCCTTATGAGCGTCTGTGGTCTAGATAAGTACAGTTTTCTGAATCAAAGGCCTCGCTCCCTCAGGGAACGTAGGTTCGAATCCCTGCTCAGCCACAGAAACTTACTGGGGGGGGGGGCTTCACCAGTAAAACCACTCCTTCAATAAATTTCACGTACCGTGAAACCCCTAGGAGGTCCCACTGAAAGTGGGTCCCTGCTTCCAAGCACAGGCGACAGACGGGTCCTTGGTACAGAAAAAGCAGCAGGCCGAATGCCACGTTTCCCCCTTTGAAAAGAGAACCCACTTACCGAGGCTCAGCCGAGTCCAAGGGAGTGAGGGTGTCTTTGTACACCTTGTGGGCCTGTTGGGAGCCAGATCCTGCACCTTTGCAAACGGCCCGGGTAGCAGATTCCCTCCAGGTGCAGCTTTCTTGTTTCTAGCCCTGCCGTGGGAGAGCAAGCCAGGCTTAAGAGACCCACCTTCCGGAGTCACTCCGAAGCGGGGCCAAGAAGCAGCTCCCCTTTGGGACCTTGGTTGCCGCCCCCCCCCTCCAAACCCCCAGAGCCTTTGTCCCACTTGGTCCCTGCCTGGTTTGGTTTGGGCTGGTTTGCCCCAACACACAGGGACCTTGCCCCCCCTCTACACCCCCTGAGGTGGTACTAGAGCATGGCCACGGCCGGACACCCCTGCCCTGTCCCTCTCTCTCTCTCTCTCTCTCTTCCCCCCCCCCTTTGCCCAAACACCACAGGCCAGCAAGCTGGACCTCTTGCCCCCAGAGCCCCTCGGGGTGGATGCAAAGGCTCCCCATTGCCTTTCAAGCCCTTCCTGGGTCCCTTCGCAGGCCAGCTCTTTGCTGAGGAGAAATGCCCGACGTCCTGCCCTCCCCCCAGAAGCACCATCTCCATCATTCCCCCCCCCCGCTTTTCCTGGTTTTCCCAATGCAAGACCACCGGTTCCAGATCATACCCTCCCTCCTCCCGGGGGGGGGGCTCCCCATCCACACCCCATAGATCAGTTGGGTGACCCCAGGAGAGGGCTGGGAAAGGCTTTTCCGGCGGCTCCCTCCGCACTGGTAGCATTGCCTCCTGCCAGTTTTGAGTACGTAAAATAACCCATAGGAGGATTGATGGCATCAATCTAGAAGTAAATCCTTGACCGATGGACTGTCAAGGTTATCCTAACAAGTGTGTTTTAAAAGGAAATGAGGAGATACTTCTTGTTATAACAAGAAGGTAACGGAGTTTCCCCTTGTTAGAGGACGATGGAAATGGGACTGCATTGGGCCCAGTTTGGTGTGGGGCGCATGTGAATGGAGCCCCTCGCCAGTCACTAGGTTGGCTACTCATAAGTTGTTCCGTCCATGCTCGGATCCCCAGCACGTTGTCCTGGAGGTTTGTTCGAGGTCCTTCCATCCATTCCACCAGCGACCAACGGGAGGGCTGGCTGCCCTCCTAAATAAATTCCCTTTGATTCCTGACCTAAGTGGTCCTTGCACAAGCAGCGTGAAACACAGCAATTGTGCAAAACTGCACAGGCTGTTTAGAAAGGGAGGAGGAGGAGGGGGAGGGCCATTGGCGTCCCCTTCGCTGGACTCAGGCCTGGTCCACGGGCCCATCTGGGACCACAAACTCTGGCCCAGGAGATGCAGATGTTTATCCAGCGGTCAACCAATGCAAAGCAGGCCCTCGTCCCGGGTCTTCATGGAAAAGTGTCCCTCTTGCCAAGATCAACTCTCCTGGCACAGAACAGGGCTGACATTTCAGAGGGACCCCCGGGGGAGAGGCGGGGAAGGCGGGAGAGAAAGGAGCAGGACTCGGGTTCTGCAGCCCCCAAGTAGCAGCCTTTCCCCACCACCACCACCCCAGCCGCCCTCTTACAACCAGCAACCCCCCCCCGAAGCGCCTGCTGCTGAGCCACCGAGCTCACCTCGGTTTACCTCCTGACAGCGATCAACTTGACCCTTGCGTATTTTCCCTTGTTTATAAATAGAAAAAGTAAAACCGGCTTGGCACCGCTGGGGTGCAGGGTGGGGGTCTGTGTGGGGAAGTCTGCATGCCTCTGCTGCCCTCCACTTCCTGTCTGCCTCTGGCCTCCCCAGGCTGGGCAGCATCCAGGGCAGGAGGCGGGAGACAGACGAGACCCCCGTCCCCGTCAAGCCTAGAGGTGGACCACGATCACCCCCAGGGCCCCTTTGCCTTTGGCGTTCTTGACTGGCCTCTGAGCTGGCTGCTCCGTTTGGAGCCCCCAAGTCGCCTTGCGGGCTCCTCTGGCTCCCTGAGGCCTTTTGCAGGGAGATTCCCGGCAGCCCCGCTTCCCTCCTGTCCACCCAAGAAGCGAAGGCGGCTTTGCCTCTCTGGGTGCTTTCCAGAGGCGTTTGACTGCGCTGCTGCCCTCTGAGGGAACGCAGAAAGGCTCCAGGCTGGGGGGGTGGGTGACTTCTCGTCCCCCCCTTCCTTTTTTATACCCCTTCTCAGACCAGGAAGAGGGGGGGGGCCCTCTTCACCCTGTCCCCAGAGAGTTCAGAAGACGCCTGCCCTGTGCCAAGGGCAGAGAGGGAGAGAGGGAGGAGGGAGGGAAGGAAGGAAAGTAGCTGCCTCCCCCCCCATCCACTCCCTCCCCCCTGTCCTGAATGAGGGAAATTGAGCACAGAGGCCCCTTTCTGCCCCTCTGAAAGGGCAGCCCCCTGAATGGATGGAGACCCAGGGTGGCATTTTCCCTTTTGCGCACTGCCAGCCTCTTTGGGCTCCTCCGCGCAAGACATGCCTGGGCATCTAACCAACCTGCCTCCCTCCCTCCCTCCCGGCCTCTGTTGCTGCCCAACGGGAAGGGCCTGCCAAGCGCTCTGGGCCTTGACAGGCAGGAAGAAGGGGAGCCCCCGGAGCCCCTGCCAGCCCGAGAGTGGACAAAGCCGCCAGCTGGGCTCTGTTCTGCTCTCGCTGGCCAGCCCCGGCGCCAGAGAGCTGCGAGAGGGGGGAAGCGCCAACATGGCCCAAAGCACCAAAACGACAGCCATCCAGACTTATCTGTGACCAAGGCTGACACCAGTCCCTGTACCTTCAGTAGCAGAGCACCAGAGGGAAATTCAACAGGTAGAGTGCAGGGGCTTCCAGACCGAGGGTCCCTGGCGCTGCGAACTCAACAGCCACCCTCCTGTAGCTCTTCCACCTGCATCCGCGGAGGAGAAAAACAGAAGCCTGGTCAGGAAATCAGGGCAGGGAGAAGCGCTACAACCTCCGGGGGCCCTAGGAAAACCCAGGCAGGAGGCAGGCAGGCAAGTCAGGTGGTGGTAGGAGAAGCCCCTGGCCTGGAAACCCCCACACACACACCTTCCCAGAGGAGGTGGGACCCCTTTGCTCTCTGAGGGCTGGGGGGGAGCGGAAATGATCAGTCACTGAACTTTCGCTTGGGGGGAGAGAGAGAGAGAGAGCGAGCAGCCAAGCTGCCACCCGCCCTACAAACCCCAAATAGCTTACATGCAGCGGGTGTGATGTGTTGTGTTGGCTGTTCTCCTCGTGTGTCCAGACTTTTGCAGAGGTGGGGAGATAAGCTTTCAGCCTCCCGACGGAACTCTTGGTCCCCTTTCTCCGTCTGCTTGGCTCTCGGAAATGCCAGCGACGCTAATAGCCTCCCCATGCGCTCGAGTTCCCCGGGACCTGCCAAACGGGATCAGCTTCTCCTCCGTAAGAGCACGGGCAGTGCGGCAAAACAAACAGGTCCCAGGAGCGCCTGCAAGATCAACAAGTTCTACTGGGCAAAAAGGTCCCTGCAGCTTTTGTGCCGTTTTCATGACTGCTCCCTTCTTCAGTGACAGTGAGAAGGCAGAACACAACCGTTTCCCGGGGTTGGAACCTTTTAGATAAGAGTGTTTCAGACTCTCTTGGGGGAAAGCTCATGAACCCTTCTCTCCCCTGCGATCGGGTGATCTGGGTCAGGTGAGAAATAGTACGTTAGGTCCTCACTCCATCACGTCCGCCTGGAGGCAGATCTACGTTCAGGATCCTGTTCTGGTTAAGACAAGGCTCCCTGCGGTCCCGTCCTGCCCTGGGGATCTCACTAAACACAGCCCTGCCGCTGGATGGTTTGAAAAAAAGGGTGGTTCCTATATATACATGCTGGTAGCGGAGTCCCGCAACAGTAAGGAACCGCAAAAACATGTGTACCTACACCGACGTGTGTCCCAATCCGTTTCAAACAATTTGAATTTATTTTAAAAAATCCAAGCTGCTTCCTTCTTCTTCAGTAAGTTTCCCATCTCAGCTAAGATAACAACAGAGACTATAACCGATTATTTGCAGCTGGCCAAAAAGACTGTCCTTCTGCGCGAAATTAAGGAGGGCACGAAGAAGGGAGGGAGCTTTAAATGCTTTAAATGTTGTCGTTCTCCAGGCAAACTTATTTCCGTACTTCTTTCGGCACGATTCTTTAGGTCAAATCTCAGTGTCAAAGATTGAGGCCTTTCTCATTCATGTTGTTGTTCCGAAAACTATTCAGCTGGGATTTGGGATGCAGGGAGAGAGTAATTCATTCCCAATACTACTCATTTTATGGTGTTCAGAACAAAAATGACCCCTATTGGTTTTAACTTGTTTCTTTGAGACAAAGCCCAGGAAAGTGGGGCCTGCCTCCTGGGTGGCTCCGCCGAGCACCCTCGTTGGCTTGTCCTGACACCGGCCCGTCTCCCACCCCCATCTCTGTCCCTCTCTCGCTTCCTTGAGGCTCACGGCGGCTTCCTCTTCCCAGACAGGACGAGAGTCTGCCCTTCCGGGGGCCACCGCCGAGAATGGAGGAGGGAAGAAGAAGCAAAAAGAGAAAGAGCTGGATGAGCTGAAGAAGGAAGTCAACCTGGTAAGGCCGGCCCCTGGGTAAGTAACTTTGGCAGAACTCTGCCTTTGGGAGGCCGGAAGGAGGAGGGTCCCACACCTCCTTTTCCCACCCCGTGGCCTCGGTGATGCTGCTGGCTTGCTCCAGGGTTGCCTCCCCATCCCCCGAGCCAAGGCTGCCCAGGAGGAGAGGAAAAGGACGCCTTGGGAGAAGGGGATTGACAGCTCGAGGGAAGGACAGCTCTGCTGGCCGGCCGACCCACCGTTTGCCAGAGATAACCTTTGGATCCTATTCCTCTCCAAGGACCTTCAGCTCTCTTGCCAGGATGACTAATGGCCTCTCTCTCTCTCCCTCTCTCCTGACTCCCTTCTTCTTCCCCAGGATGACCACAAGCTCTCTCTTGATGAGATCAGCAGGAAGTATCAAGTGGATCTCTCCAAGGTGAGTCCACTCAGAGCCTCTCCCTCTCCCTACATAGTGGGGCAGGGGGGGCAAGGAAGGGGTGCCTTCTGCTGACTCACGTGAACATCCTGCCTTCTCCCAAACGGCTGTAGCAGCTGAAAAAAGGACACCGTCCCATGAGGTCAAGGAAGACACCCCCCCAACACCTCATTCTTGCACCCCCCCTTTCTTGCCTGTCTGTTGTTTCTCACCCCGTTAGTGACAGATGGAAGGAAAGGGGTGGCTAGAAAGAGTGGGGGAAATTCACCTTTCCCCCTCTCCCAGAGAAGGGAGAGGGATCTTTACAGCATGGTAGCATGGAAATTTAACCAACCGACATAAAATAATTCTCTCCAGTTCATTTAGGGTCGCGCAACAGGCAGCAGATGGTATTGGGTTAGAAGAAGAAATTATTTAGTTAGAAGTGCTTGGTGGGCTTTTCCCTTGGCCTGTTGCTTGCAAAAGAGTCTGTTTTGTTTTCTGGGAAACAAACCCCTTCCAAATAGGATGGCTTGGGGAATGGAGCTTGGATGAAATCCTGCCTCTCGGACACGGTCCGGCTTCTAACTTGATTCTCTCTGCATCATCCTCTGTCACTTAGCCGAGATGATGTGGCCTTCTGCTGGCCGTCCTGCCTTATGAGCAGAGTCTGAGAGGATTTTTAAAGGGAGTGTTTTTCCTTCTTGCTTTGAATCTCTTTTTTTGGTGCGGATTTTGTTTACCATTTTTAGTGTGTCTGATTCTCTTCTAAAATATGTGCATACTGACACATACGTATTTGTACGTCTGCTGTTTTACGCTTTTAAATGTTGTCTTTTCATGATGTAAGCTACCTTGGGCCCTTTTTAAGGGGAAAGGCATGGTAAAACTATTTTAAATAAAAGAAAACAAACCCTCAGTCCTGGTGGCCCCTAGCCGCCCTGCACCCCAGAGGGCTAGCAGAGGGCAGGATCTGACTCAGGGCCAAGCCTGCCTCAGTGGCTTTACCCGGTCATTTTGGAATCGCCCTCGTATTCTGCATAGGATCTTATTCTTCATCATAGGATCTCCGTTTGTCTCCCTGTCTGCCTCCCCCTCCCACCCTCCTCTGGCATGCCTCCTTCTCTGGCCAACCCCTCTTTTCTCTCTGTATCCTCTCCTGCCTCTTCCCATCACAGGGCCTTACCAACACTCGCGCAGCGGAGATTCTGGCCAAGGATGGCCCCAACGCCTTGACTCCTCCTCCCACCACCCCAGAGTGGGTGAAGTTCTGCCGGCAGCTCTTTGGGGGCTTCTCCATTCTGCTGTGGATCGGGGCTATTCTCTGCTTCCTGGCGTACAGCATCCAGGCCGCGATGGAGGACGAACCAGCCAACGACAATGTAAGTTCTGCGACAGAAGGAAGAGAAAGCAGCTCTGCCGAAGGCTTTTCCAAGCTGGGCTGAAGAAACGTCTCTCTTAGAAGGCTTATAACAAAAGCGGAAGTGAAAGGGACCCCAAACGCTCTCTCCAGACGGGGGTGGGTGGGTGAGGAGAACGAGCGTTGCAATGGCCAAGGGCTCTCAAGAAAAGAGTTCGTGACAACACTGGCAGGGGCCAAGCTTTTGGAAATAGACCCAAAAAGGGATCTCAGGAGTCCAGACATGAGCAAGAGAAAAATGTATATTCATTCTTTGGCTGCTTAATTTTTTAAAAAGGCTAATCCATGATGTTGAACATCACTAGAGAAGGAAGCGAAAATAAAATATCCAGTATCGTACAGAATCACTGGCTTGTGAGTTCTGTGGTTGAGGTCTCTGGCCCTGGAGCCAGAGGTGGGGAGTCTGATTCCCCCTCTCATATGGGACCAAACTGGGAACTGCTGTGTTCTTCTGGTCAGTGCACCCCAAAAAGGGCCCAGTACTGCTGGAAGGGTACAGGGGAAAGGGAACCCAAATGGCTGTGGGGCTGGGGCAACGTTGCGGGGGGGCTGTTTGCCAAAGGAGGGCAGGCGAACATGGCTGAAGCAACCCGTGGGAAAACTCTGCGTGGCGCAGCCTCATAAAAGTGCCTTCTGCCAAGGAAATGGCCTCAGGTGACCAACCCTTACGTGGAGGGTTGGTCCACCAAAGTGGAAACTTGAGAGGCTTAGAGCAGACAAGAAGGCAGAGCTTCTCCATAGTGCTTAAGCAGGGGAACTCACTGCCCCAAGATCTGGGAGCCCTAAAAGGTCCAGGTACCTCCGGTTCTGCCTGGGTTCCCACAGCAAAATCTTTGCTCTTCTTGCAAACCGAAAGCTCAACTGGAGAGCAGCTTTTCCATTGGCTCTGCTCGGCTTCTTCTTAGGCAGGGATTCAGCGCCTCTCCCGGAGACTGTGTCGTGAAAGATCAGAGCGGGTGACGTCTGAGCCAGGCAGCCAAAGGGAGATTGTCCAGCCCAGAAAAAGACAGGACTCCAAAATAGCTCGGAGGCTGCTCCTGTCGTAACCGGAGCTCATTCGCACCAGGAGGTCACCCAGAGTGGGAGACCCTACAGCCGGTCCCAGAAATAGCAGGACAGATCTTCGACTGAATGAGAGGGATAGGGACCCCCCCCCAGCCCTCTCCCAGGCCCTGTTCTAGGTGGGGAGGAGGTTAATGGGGGGTTGCTCTCCACCCCTTGCCTTGGTATTGCAAGGAAGGAAAAGAGCAAAAAAATAAAAAGGGTCCCAAAGAGCCCCCCTGAAGTACGTAGGTGTCCTTTTAGATCAAGACCTAACACACACACACACACAGAGAGAGGGGGGGTCGCAAAGAGCCCCCCTGAAGTACATAGGTGTTCTTTTAGATCAAGACCTCATTCTTTTTAATCCCAACATTTAAACTATTGTCTTTCTCTATTTCCATTTTTTCATCTTTTGCAGCGTTGTGGCGTAAGGCAACCGAAGCAGCCAGGGATCCCACAGCTTGTGCCCTCGGGCAGGCTTTCCTCAGATCTGCCCCAAAGGATGGCCCTGGGGGGCCATTTAGAGCCCCCCTCCTCG